GGATAAGGAGAATTTGTTAAACAATCAAGAACTTGTTTAGTTGGTGATCATTTCCTTTATTCTCCTGACCTTAATGTGTGATTCAGGGGTGATATTGTAAGGAGAAATTAGAAGCTGGTCACTATTGGGATCAAAGGGTTAAAAAGCAGTTTGCGAGTAACTTTTAAAATTTTAAAATCGATATGTGTCATCAGACTATAATGAGTTGAGCCTGTTTTTAGCAGTCACCTGGAGAATGAATTTCTAAAGTCACATTGCTGGAAAGAAGTTAAGAAATAAGTGGAGTCTAGTTCTTTCTGTAGGGACGAGAGCGATTAATCCGGCACGAATAGCACCGGATAGTGCTTCATCCAGTGGATAGCACCATTCACCTTACGTAGCAATCTTGGCCTGAGAATAAGCTAAAAAGTTTACACGACAGCGCACGGAAATGAAATCGAATGAGAACGCTATCCATCGGTTTATAAAACTCCATGGATTATACTACGCTATCCACCAGATAGTTATTCATCCAGAGGATAGCACTATCGACCTTTCGTATTAACCAGGGCCTAAGAATAAGCTAAAAAATTTATTGTCCCTCATTAACATCCCCAGTTATTACCAGTCCACCCACCTGTAAACAGGAAATACATCTAAAGCTTCCCACCCACCCACCTTCCCCTTTGATATTTGAAAACGAAACTTTAGGATGTTAATTTGCCTGGGAACAAGAAAAACATTAGGCAACAATATTTGTCAGAAAACAAAACTGGAAAGCAACTTTGGTCCTGCTATTCTCGATGGAACTATTTTTGATTTCATCCGAGCTTGAATGAGTTTTGGAGCTAAGTTTTGAAAATGATGCGAAGATGATTTCAAACCCACATCTAGTTCCCAAGCCTCAGGATTTCTAATTGTCTAATCGTAAACTTCTCGGACACTGGTCTGGCACTCGCCTTTCTCATCATATGTCAGCGGGAAGGGATTCAAACCTATCAATCAAACCATCCTCTTCGTCAACTTTCACGGGATATAGTAACAAAACAAAAAGCGTTTGACGTCATCTATTTCAGTTCTTTCATTCACACTCACACAACCACAATACTAAATATTCTTACTGTTGGCCATACATTTCTATAATATAACTTCTTATAATTTACTTTTCAATCAAGCGATGTCCGTAAGTTGATATTTGTCTCTTTTTTTTTGTGTCATCGCCTGTCTTATTGAATATATATTCATTTTGCAAAGAGAAATCATCCCTCTCGGTCACTTCTAGGAATGAAAGGGGTTAAAATTTACACTTTACGGAACTAGTGTTAAATTCCCGATAATGTTCAGTTTTTGTTTCGTGAGATCTCTGACATGAAGAACGTGTTTTAGATATATAAATATATGAATAAATGCGCATTTTTCACTTTTAGAAGTCATGTATATGATATAAAAGGGGTTTTACAGTCATAGATATAACTTTGTCATGGAGCAATTTTTCAGAGAACCTTGAGACGTTCACATTCGTGGTGAAGAGATCCCTCATCACAATGTCGATTGAAGATCAATCATTGGACACTTTGAAAAAGGTAAAGTGTGGTACACTGCTTGATTGTTGAAACCAGAACAAAGCAGAAAACAATTGATAGGTTATTCTAATAAAAGAGGAGCTGTTGGCGTACATAGTTCTCTAAAATATGGGCAGTTTTCAATCCTCATACTGTCGGGGTCAAGTTGAAAAAAGATCCAGTTCCACACAGCTTCAAAGTCAAATCAAATTCAAATCAGGTCATTGGGATTTATCGGGGGAATTATTGGTTTTCTGAGATTCATCAGCAAGTAAAATTTTCTCTTTGTTGTGACTCAAAATTCTAGGTCGAGGTTTTTAAATTGGGAAGGTAAAAGTTACGACCGCGCCTAATTTACTAGTCAACGAGAGAATTCAAAGGAAAACTGCAATAACTTGAATATCAATCAAAGGCTATAACTTTCGAGAATGGAAAGTAACACTATCTTATTAAATAATTAATGCGCATGCTTCGGATATGTATTATGGCGTACATGGCTTATTCTCCCTGTAAATTATGAATTGCCTTTTAAACTCAGTTTGTATAAAAGTTTTAGGAAAAACTTGAATGTCTCCCGCCCGAAAAAACAAGAGCTAGCTGGAGATGAAGGTGAGCATGCATGTCTCTTCTTTTCCATTTTGTACAGTGTTGTGTGGCTTCACGTTTGAATGTTTCCCCAAATGCAAACCGACTCAAAACTCTTGTTAGTATTCATGTTTCACTTGAAAACACAGAATAAGTGATGAGTTCCACAACACTGATCAAGAGCTGGATAGATATCCGTAAATTATGAGTTTCAATAATTCATTTCGTTATTGATAATAGTTGGGCGTTACAACTTTGTTTCTATGAGTTACAGTGCGTGATCGAGCAGTTTCGCGACTACTTTTATTTGGGGAATACCTCACAAACTACGGGAAACATTGTTCAATTATTGTCCATTTATTCACAAGACAAATCCATTTCTTATACAAGCATTTTTTTCCTTTACTAAAGGAACGTACTTGGCTTGCAGAAGAATCGACTTCGAAGGTTTAATCTGTGTATGTATGCGTCCTTGGCTGTGTATGTATGCGTCCTTGGCTCGCTGATCACTCTATATCACCAATAAAATGATTCCAAACATCGACCTTCAAAACAAGTACAAGCAGTGAAAGTCGTACTTCCAACTCGTCAAATATTCACACTGGCTTGAGCTATACCAAAATGCTGCCAATTATAACCGACAAAAACCGTTTTCCTATCAACTTTCATGGCTCTTAGGCACTGTAAAGCACTATTCAGCCAATGGAAACCTCTAAAAAGCCCTTCTCTAAGATGTGCTAAAATGTGTTATTTATTTAAAATGAATAGAATGAACATGATAATACTGGAATAGACAGTCTGAAACTTTCCAAGCAAGTATACTTGTAAGCGATGCCAATGATTAGAAGGTAAGTTTCGATTTCAAAATCACATTTTTCTCGGTTTAATAAAACCTAGCCTGCTGAAACTTTTCGTCATTGTCGGATGTAGTATGGTGCTTGAAGTTGTGGCTGGTAAAGTTTGCACGTGAAATATGCTTTCTCGTCAGTTGTTTAACATATTGGAGTTATTGTCAGCAACATATACAATATAACGGCTATTCGTTGATCAACGGCTGTTAGTTGATCATTGTGCCATCGAACAAGTAAACGGTTAATTTGTTTTCCGTTGCGGATTCTTTAAGCGTTTTATGGATTCTCTCCGTTTCTTTTAGAGCGCCTGGAAGTGATTCAGATAACTTTTTGTTCCCGAAGAAAGCTTCAGTGTTGGCGATGATAATGGTTCCGTTTCTGATGTAACTTTGAATACTCTCATTCCACGGCAAGGCATAAGCTTTCCCATCTTTATCATCCTTATCACCGGAAAAATGTAGTCCAGCTAAAGTATATTTGCTAGCCTCTTCTTTCTTGGCCAGTATTGGACAGCCTGAAGTTCCTGCAAGCAGTACCCCATTTTTCTTCTCGAGGTGAATCAATGATACTAGGTTCTGGTCAGCTTCAGTTACGTCACGTACAGTATTTTTTTTGAATTCCTTTTCATGATCATCACTGTCGGCTTGATAATAGAAGGCGTACACTGAACTACCTGGTGTTATAGACGTTATAGGTTGGGCGATATTTATTGTGTGAGAGAGCGGCGTTATGACCTCACCTACTAACTGCTTTAGAAGGTCGTCTTCTTTCTTCTCCCAAGGTTTGTAGGCAGTTTTTTCACGAGTATATTCATACTGAAATCCCAGCTTCACCATTGCAATATCTTTGTTTTTGAAATCCGCGTTATCTCCCGGTTTCACTACGTTATCCACCAGATAGTGATTCATCCAGAGGATAGCACTATCCACCTTTCGTATTAAGCAGGGCCTAAGAATAAGCTAAAGAGTTCATTGTTCCTCATTAACATCCCTAGTTGTTATCAGTCCACCCATCTGTAAACAGGAAATACATATTAAGCTTCCCACTCATCCTTCCTTTGATATTTGAAAACGAAACTTTAGGATGTTAATTTGCCTGTGATCAAGAAAAACATTAGGAAACAATACAGATCAGAAAACAAAACTGGAAAGCAACTTTGGTCCTGCTATCCGCGATGGAACTGCTTTCGATTTCATTCGAACCTGAGTGAGTTTTCAAACTAAGTTTTGAAACTGATGCGAAGATGATTCCAAACCCACATTTAGTTCCCAAGCCTCAGGATTTTTAATTGTCTGATCGTAAACTTCTCGGACACTGGTCTGGCACTCGCCTTTCTCATCATTTGTCAACGGGAAGGGAATCAAACCTATCAATCAAACCATCCTTTTTGTCAACTTTCACGGGATATAGTAACAAAACAAAAAGCGTTTGATGTCATCTATTTCAGTTCTTTCATTCACACTCACAAACACAATACTAAATATTCTTACTGTCTGCCATACATCTCTATAATGTAATTAAACAATGTCCGTAAGTTGATATTTGTCCCTTTTTTCTCATCGCCTGTCTAATTGAACATATATACATTTTGCAAAGAGAAATTCCCTGTTGGTCACTTTTAGGAATGAAGGGGTTAAACTTTACACTACGTAAGAAGTGGTAAGTTCACAATGATGTTAAGTTTTCGTTTCGTGAGGTGCTCTGAAATTAAAAACGTGTTGTTAATAAACAAATAAATACACATTTTTCACTTTTAGAAGGCGTGTTTATGATATAAAAGGGATTTCGCAGTCATAGATATAACTTTGTCGTGGAGCAATTTTTCAGAGAGCTTCGGGAGGTTCGGCGAAGAGATCCATCATCACAATGTCGATTGAAGACCGATCATTGGACGCTTTGAAAGAGGTAAAGCGTGGTAATTTCTATGTTCATGACTGCTGTTTCCACCATCTGAGTTTATTCCGTCATTAGTTCGTGCGAGGTTTCAATTACAAATACAGATATGGCCATATTTTTTTTAGTAAAAATCACTGCCGATAGCTTGTTCTCTTATTTTTTTTTTTTTAAAGTTTGATTGTCGAAACCATAACAAAGAAAAAAACAATTGATAGCTTGTTCTAAAGAAACAAGAAGCTGTTGGCGTGAATAGTTCTCTAAAATCTGGGCAGTTTTCAATCACCATACGGTCGGTCAAGTTGAAAAAGGATCATTAGACGGGTCGAGAAAATTGAGAAATAAATCAGAGTTCATCTCATGCATTTCCAACTTACACACAGCTTCAAAGGCAAATCAAATTGAAATTGGGATTTATCAGAGGAGTTATTCGTTTTCTAAGATTCATCAGCGGGTGAAATTTACTCTTTGATATGACTCAAAATTAAAGGTCGAGATCTTCAAATGTGAAAGCAAAGGTTGCGACCGCGCCTAATTTACGAATCTGGGAGAGAATTCATAGGAGAATTACAATAACTTGAATATCAATCAAAGGCTATAACTTTGAGAATGGAAAGTAGCACTGTCTTATTAATGAATTAATGCGCATGCTTCGGATATGTATTATGGCGTACACGGCTCATTCTCCCTGTAAATCATGAATTCCTTATTAAACTAAGTTTGTATGAAATATGATAAGTTATGTTCGGTAGCAAATACAGTATTACGCTTTGATTGTGCCTCTGCAAACAAAATTTTATTAAGTTAAAATTGTGGTTTTTTTTTATATCAAACCTTGCTCAGATAATTTGAAACGAGTATGAGAGCGATCTTCGCAGTAATGGACACTACTTAAGTTGTAGTGAAAATAAGGCCTGAAAAAAAAAAAAAAAAAAAAAAAAACAGGCCTGTACGAGATTATTAGAGCCCATGACCTTTGCGATACCGGTGCAGTGCTCTACCAACTGTGCTAACAAGCCAACTGGGAGCTGGTCATTATGTTGGTTCGTAATTAACGAAACGTCAGTCACTTATGCTTGCAACAGTCCTTCTCAGAGCTACTCTCACCTTTATGATCAAATGTAAACTGACTGGTAAGCACCCTTCGCTTCGTTAGAGCGTCGTTAGCCCTTCATGCTGGAGAAGGCCCCACACTCAATACGTCAACTTGACGATGACATCCCTTCCCTCCCTCGACACAGCACCACAGTTTCTTTAGGAACTTGCCCCTTTAATCAAATGGCACTTGAAGTCCGATTTGCAACTGCTCACCCACACAGGTATGTAACTTCGTACAATGATCTTCTCTTGCGCATAGCATACCAGTTTCCCCTTACCCATGGCTTATGTTCCAGTTTCCATTGTCAAAAGTCTGTTGTCTATGGTCCATCGTCAATTTTCCATTGTCATCGTCCATTGTTGCAGGGAGGCACTGCTACAGTCATAGACAGAAGTGATTATGGTTGGAACACGCGCAAACACAAGCTTTATTCGATGAATGACACCGGCTCAGCTCCAGATCACTACTTGCACGTCGATAGCGACGGTTTCTTGAAAGCAAATGGAGGAGTCAATAGTGATAGTGAGTAAACACAAGGTTTTTAGAAGTTTTAAGTCCCGGTTTAAATCAGAAAAAACCGGTATCATCATTATTATTACTATTGTTACTGTCGTCATCGGTTTAAATATTATTTTTAATATCATTGTTGCCATTGTTATTATGGTTCAAGTTATTAATAGTCCTCTTATTATTATCATTATCATTATTTCTAAAAGGTTTATCCATCTTATCAGTACGCTTATTGAAAAAGTGTTCTTGGGTCTCTGACTTTTTCAACTGAAAGCCGCCCTGTGGTCGTAACCTGTGAATTACCAACTACTGTTTGAATCATAAAGGGCGATATATATTTGATTTGCCATGATGGCTCTTTATCTTATTTTTACAGATATTTTCACTGTCTACACTCAAACTGTGGGGTCTAAAGTTGTTGTTATGTTGGAGCACGATAGTACAAAGAAAGTTGTGGCTATAAGTACAAACTCCGACGAGGTATGTGCAAAGGTACGTAACGAAACGATTTCTGTTTGCAAGAAAAGTCATCCCCTAGGGTCCTTTGATCGATGAGCTTTTAAACTTTGTAATGAATTATAATCGTTTGTCTCTCGATTTAGTCACTTCCGACGTGGATCGGAAGGTTTGACGGCAAACCGCACCACAAGTCTTCTTCATGCGATGTACTGGGTGACGCCTATATTGTGAGACAAACGGTTATACTTCACTACCAGTGTGACCAGTAGCCGTAAGCTTTTCAAAATTTTCAAGTTTTGAATAAATACGGAGGGTCAAAATTTACTTGATGTTATGATGGTCACAATTATCGTCCATCATGCCTTCTCAAGTCTGACACCTGTTTCAACCCTTCAATTGCAAGGATAGACCAACATTTTAACTCTCCTCATAATTTCACTGCATTATCTTTAAGCATGATACAAAACAGGTTGAGCTACAGACGGACTATAACTGGCATTAATGAAATCGCGCATTCGAACAAGAATGTAGACGCTATAATTTTGGATGAGACTTTCTGCCCTTCTTGAGCATAACTTGTAAATGATTTTAGATGTTTTTGTTTTGGAATTAATGTATTGTCTATTCCGACAGACTCTTCCTGTAGGGACCACTTTAAGTCAGTTCAATAACTTGAGCAAGGCCAAAGCTTCCGAGCCGAACATTTTGTTCCACAAGAAACCGCGGACACCTGGGAGTGAGCATTTTCACTTGCAGTCATACTTGGATGCTCAGAAGAGAGTTGGATTTGACCCTAATGGCATTCCAATGCCTCCTTCTAAAGTAAATCTTCAGCACCCTGCAAGTCTTTTCAAGATGTACACTAGTTAAGCGCTTTCAACTTTTCTCAACTTTTAACACATGTTTGTTAATTTTTTTTTTAATTAAAAAATTTCCTTGGAAACAAGTAATTTTACCTAATTACAAACTTTCTATACATGAATCCGCAATGAAACCCATCTTAGATAATTGGCGAATAAACTGTTATAAAGAACCTTGACGTGAAAAACAAGGCTGACTCTAACAAATTTATGCTGTATGATTTTCCAAATAGCAAGTGGAATAATAAAAAAAAGTTGACGCACCGTAAAAATATGAATTTCATGTAAATTTAGTCTGAGAGAAATCACATTTAGGTTGAGAGGACACGAAGAAATTTGGAAGGGACGGGGGTGTCGATCCAACCCCTTTTTGCAGAGCTTGAGCTACGTGTAATTGGAGCTTAGGCCAAGCTTCATATGGCTTGTTGGGTAAGACTGTCACAAGCAACTCCTCCGCCGATATTCTGATGTACGTACACCAACGATCGTATTAGCTCAAATTACAAATGTGACGCCAACCTCGTTCCCAGGGCCTTTTTCCCTTAGTTGGGGTGGGGCGTGAAAAGGGAAAGGGGTCCGGGTACGAGGTTGGTGTGAAGCACGTCACCACTGTCCTATTAAGACCCTATTAATGCTGAAATCAGGCTGCTGATAGCCTATCTTATGAGAAAATTTTGTTGAGGTTTTGATTAATGCAATGTTGCAAAATCCTGCCATAAACCCTCCCGTATATGATACTCCTTACAATCAGTGACAAAATTGTTGACGCGTTGATCTTTTCAAGCCCCTATGACTTCAATATTATCTCTTTTGCCCTCGTTGAGTTAACCGTTTCGCCCCCAACCCCCCAAAAAATAAGGAAAGGGGTCCGTTAATGATTTAAAGTGTGGTAGTAACGGGACTGTTATTCTTCACATAAATAGGATTCTTCAAACGTCATGTGTCAATCACGTGATGTGTCAACTAATTTGGACGTTGATTGTGGTTCCAGGTCCACCCATCTGTAGACAGGAAATGAACTCAATTATTACCTTTTCCCCCTCCCTCCCCCCTTCGAGATATATGCCCCCCCCCAGCAGCAAAGATGCTTCAATTACATGTGACGGTTTAAAACTAAGTTTAAAAAAAAAACACCGAAAGAGAAACGTTTTTCGGCCAACAGTGCTTCAGCTCGATTCGAAAGAGTTTCTTCTTTTTTTTTCATTCTGATAATAAACCCCGCACGTTTAGAAGTCCCCTTGGATATAAACTTTATGACAAATCGTCATAATCATATGACTGTTGTTGTTAGCTCCCAACACACAGTTAACTCACAACAACCCTTTTCGCGGAATTTCAATTTTACTTGCTACTATTTCATGCAATGGTAACAGGTCACATTTAGCCCTGTGCCCTGTCTTCAGTATGCCCTCGCCCTTTTTCAGTCTCTCTCTTTGATCAGGTTTAAATCCTTTCTGACCAATTTACACCACACTTGGAGTACTTTAGGGTCAGCTGGAGGCATACCTCTCGGCAAGAGACATACAATGTCCGTTCAATGCCATTTAAATGTCATTTCTGCGGAAGCCGAAAAGGGACAATCCAAAAATATTTTTCAAATCCCGAAAAATATTTCAAATCGCAATATTCATTTTAAACTCACTGTCGAAAAGTTTGACAAATCCAAAGATATTTTCCAAAAAAATATTTAGAAGTCCAAAAACATTTTTTCGAAATCCGAAAATATTTTCCGAATCCAAAAAAATATTTTGAAATCCAAAAAAATTTTTTCAAAATCCGAAAATATTTTGCAAATCGAAAAAAATATTTTGAAATCCAAAAATATTTTGTGTTAAATGGGAACACCAAGAACTGTAGTACGATCAAATCAGCGCGCGTGGTGCAAGCTGAAAGCAATCAAGACAACTAAACGATCGAGACAGTGAAAAAAATAGATGCACATCTACAAAGGCGAACGATTCAAAAAAGACGCAATCCCTGATGTGCGTACTCATTTTAAACAAACTGAGACATTTCTGTATACACACTATAGTTCCTGTCACCCACAAGGAATTAAAAGAGACTTCATGAGACACTGGTATTTAATAGAAACACAACCACTACTCAACGAAATATACAAAAATCCGTTTCTCGTATCTTACAAAAGAGGAAGGTCGCCCAAAGACATCATGACTCAGTGGGGCCAAACTTTGAATAGGTTACTCAAAACACGCGCTGGTGAGTCGTGTAGGCCTCTCAACCCCATTTCACAACAATTTCTCGTCTAACTATTTCCCGAACAGTGTGTTCTGAATGAAGGTGGTTTCTTTGTAACTCATAGTGACGTAGCCTTCTTTTCAAAGTCCTCATGCCATGAGGACTTTGATTGAAATCCCATGGTATTCTGCCAGAAAGTGAACAATGGTCTCGTAACGAAATCCCTTATTAAAGTAATGTTCTATAGCCGATCTTTCGTCTCCCGAGCTGGACAACACACTTTCCTCTTCACGCCATTTTAGTGTTCCACAACAACGGCAGAATGTTTCATTGTTCCCACATTCTCTTCCACATTTATGACAGAACATGTTCTATCCTCGTTCCTTCGCCATTTTGTATGCGGGATGATGCGGGATATGGCAAGAAAACGCTGGGTGACTGCTGGCGCAAATAGCACGTGACAAAATATTTTTTTGGATTTGCAAAATATTTTCGGATTTTGAATA